CGACTAGATGACACATTAACAACAACAATTTAAGTCTTAGAATAAAGGTATAATTGTTTAAAGCAAAGTGTGAGTGATAATTTTCTCAGGGTTTCCCCCCTGATAATGTGAAAACTATTTCTAATGTTTGCATTGAGGTCAAAGAGCTGGAATCCGGAGCAGCCATTGCAGCAATGTAAATAAGTATCCTTGGAATCCAACAGAATATCACGTATAAGAACGCTACCTATCAAAGCAGCAGAATCACTGCTCTAACTGTAAACAATCTAACCTTAGATAGTTTTATTCCCAATTTAGGGAAAAATAAAGAAACACAAGCAAGGCATAGCTGTTCTAGTCCAGAAAAAGCAAGTACTACTACACATAATTTTTGAGTCTCGTGGAAAATTCTTCGGAGTTCTGGTGGTCTAGTCCATCACAAATTGTGCCAAAAGGCAGTTTAAATCCACCAGTGGCTCCACAGGCAGCCTCGTCCTGTGCGCTTCACAGCCTCAAAAACCCAGTGGAGGGTCAGCTCTGAAGTAGTTCTGACTTGACAGCATTGAGTGTTGGCCATCATTAATAATAGCAACAGGACTTTCATTTCCAGAACTTTACACTTTTCAGTTCATTTTTGCCATCCTAGAATTCCTCTTTAACAAGTGAGGCAAATTCACCTAATGGTGCCTCTTAAATCAGACTGCCTGTATCCAAATCCCAACTCTAATAAACCCTACCAGCTTGGTTTTTACTCAAGTAATACCCCTCTCTCTGCCTTGCTCATAGCATTGCTGTGAGAACATAATTAACCAATATACACAGCATTCAAGAGATACTTGTGCTCTGAAGAAGTACTGAGTACTAGCCATGTATTGGACACTGATACTATTGTAAATGCTTTATGGGCTTTAACTCAGTGGATCCACTTAGTTTATTTTCTGGTCGATGCTATTACTAGTCTAATCTGCAAATGAAAAAGCTAAGGCATGAAACAGTTAAGCCATTTCTCAGACTGCTTTTGGTTAGTTAGCAAAGGTTGGTTTTAAGATCAAACATGCCCTACCATCAGATTCATCTGCCAGATTCCTAGCTTCTGGTAGGAGAGAAACACGTCTATTTGCTCCAGCACTCGCAGGTGCGAGCCCATTAAAACTGGGAAGTGGCCTCAAAAGTCTTCACACTCATTGCTGTGCCACTGAAATCAACTCCTTGCTGATCCTCCAGCAGATTTCTGAGGGTGTAGCTCACATAGGAGGAGACTGCCCATCTTCTTCCTGAGGAACCACTGGGCAACTCCAGCTGCCAGGGAGGCGAGGATTTCCTCTGGATTAAGCCATGAGAGCACCCCCTGACGCACTGGAGGTAACATACTTTGAGATTCCCTTCTCTCTCTTGCTCTGCGTTTCCCACCCATCTGGCTGCCTAAACCCTCTCAGGGGTGAGATTCCCCAAATACAGTGTCAGGTAAACTCTGATATGCAGGCCCCAATGTTTGCAAATGCCCAAGAGGCAAGAAGTCCCTGGAATTCTTAACATACTGCTGAAAAAAAACCAAAGCACTTTGTTGGTGGCAGCATTTTCTACAGCCAGAGTCTGAGATGATAAATTTTCTGTATCAACTTGGTTAAGCTATGGTGCCAGGATGTTTGGTCAAATTCAAGTCTATATATTGCTGTGAAAACGTTTTGTAGATGCAATTACGTTAAAGGAGATTCTGCGGGAGAACATGAACAACCCCCTAAATCCAATTTGGATAAATCATCCTGACTAGTGCACCCTCTGTTTGGTTTCTGGAGATGTAAATCATAATCTGAGCAGACTGCCTCATATTTCTCCTACTAATTTTTTGATGGGTTTTAACCACTAACCTTTTTGTTAGTAGCCCAACTCATAACCCACTAAGCCACAAAGTTGGATAAGTTGGTTGGGTTTTATCTAAACAGTTAAAGACCTTATTAGCAAAAACTGATATCTTGAAAAGGATTTGCCTCAAGGCCAGAGCACAGATATTCTCCAGAGTGTCCAGCTTGCTACACTACGTGCAATTTTGTATGCAACAGTTTCTACTCTCTCTCCAGACTGAAGGATTTTTGACATGTCAGACCTCATAATTCAACAAATCAATTCCTTAAAAAGTATGTCCCCTGCTGATTTTATTTCTCTGGAGAACACTCTTGAACACCCCCTCTAAATCAGTTCTGAGGGGAAAGGTCCAAGGCTCTGAGGTTCCCATGATCCATGCTGTGCTGTTCTTACCGCCGAGAGTCTCATCCTTGTTCTGGTGAGTTCGGTACAGCAGCACTATTTCAATCCAGTATGTGTAGAGCAGAGCACTTGCAGTCAGCAATCCCACCATGATTATGATGGTGCCAGGTAATATGTATATGAAAACCACTAGAGAGAAATGCAGTGGTGGTGAATAAATAAGATGAGCAAACTTAGAGAAGGCATTTCCTGCATTTAGACAGGCTCCCACTCTGGTAGATGCTGTGGGTCCCCCCTAGGTCATCTCCATCCCTATTTTGTCAAAATTAATGCTGTTGGCTGCATTGTTTTTGAATCTCAGGACATTGCAAAACAGGAATTGAGTTTACACTAAACTTCATAGAATTCAGGGGAATAGAATTTTATAGAACTTTATTTCATAATATATTCTCTTTCTTTCTTGTTTTCATTGATTTGAATCAACTCATAACTTACTGTCTGGAAGGGTTTTCTGTCAATTTGGTGGTACCTAACAACAACAACAATTAGAGTCTAAGGAACCATATCTGACTGAGTTCACACCTTCCACACAACATAATTCAGGACCCTCTACACACTTGTTTTAAGGCAAGTCACCATTAACAACATCTACAGGCTTGGCACAAACATTGGTTTGTTTAAGACTAACTCGCTGTGTGACTTTGATGAAGGTATTAATTTTCTATGCATCAGTTTCCTTCCCTGGAAAACAGAAATAATTTTGCTTACATGGAAGTGATGTTGAGAAATTACATGTGTTAACACAAGCAAAGTGCTTAGAACAAAGTCTGACACTTAAAAAACAGTAATTGCTATTACCATCATTTAGAAAAATTTCTCTCCTACTAATAAAATGAATTGCATAGATTCTAGGGCAACATGCCTGGCTTACCTCCTTTCTTCACTTTTAATTGGATGGTCTTGGTATCATTTCCCTTTGAGTTCTTGGCAAAGCAAATAAATTTCTTTTGAAGATCACTCTGGGTAACTTCTTTCAAAGAGTAAGTACATTGAAAGACTTCATTTGATGAAGATGAAATACTAAAAAAGGGGGGGAAAGAAGAAGCTACACCCATTCAGGATCATAAATCACCACTTATTTTTTTTTTCGTAATTTTTACAAATGACCAACTATTTAGATATCAGAAAACTATGATATCTGTAAGATCAATCAGCTTAAAGAGATCTCACAATTTAAGATGGTCAGAGAGAAGATCAATTCTTGATTAAATTATCAAACTGCTAAGAATAAAACTACATAGAAGGAGGCTGTCTGAACAAAGCCTGTGGCCTGTGAATAAGCTTTGTCCTTAAGTAAACATATATGTTAGAGAACAACTCATCTCTGTATCTTCTCATTATGTGGAAAGAAAAAGATCCTTAACTGCAATATGGAAGAAGTGTGTGCAGATCACCAAGCCCTAAGTTGGTTATATAGAGAGCTATATGCTGGTCTCGAAAGACAAGCTACCACTATTGAAGCTGACCTCACTCTATCTTCTCTAGGTGCATAAAACCGTATTCCATGTAATGTCTGTGTTATGATGAGTCTTTTTTTGAAAGTCCAGATCTTGACTAGATATTCTAAGTATTCATACTAAGTCATATTTTATTTGTGGGCATCGTTTGACCTTCTTTGCCCTAACAATTCTCCCAGAGAATAGATGATGATAATAAATTTAGATGTCATTCTAAAAATAACTCACTGTACTGAGGACATACCAGGTACTTATTAGACACTCTTCTTCAGACTGATCAGGAGCTATTAAATCTCTTCTCTAGTCTCACAGGAATCCTATATGATAATTGCATGGTCATCCTATCATGGTCAACAAAGCACCGTGAGACAGAAATTTCAAGATCACACTGTCCTCACTTCTAAGGAGTACCCTGTTTTTACTTCTTCCAAGACAGATTTATTTCTTTAGTTTTTCTTTTCATTTAAGCGAAATCTTTTTTGTGTAAATTCTGCCCAACGGAGTAGGTTCTTTGCTCTGAATTTAAACAAATGAAATAAAATTTCTCATAAAATAGAATCACTTCTAAATATTTAAGACAAATAGATATACTCGCTTGAATCTCTTTTTTTGCCAAGATAAGTTGTTTTAACTATTCTTCACTTTATACACTTTTCTGGTCAGATTCAATTAGTATTCCACTTTGTCAGAATTCCATTTCATTACTGTCAGCATTCAGATTCTTGAATTCATCACACATGCTGCATACTAAGTTGTTAGCTAGCATAGGACTTAAGCTGGAAACATTTTCTCCCCTGATTGCACATACTATATATCTCATTCAAATAGCTTGGGCTAGTGTGTTTATCTATTTAGTTGCCCCTTTTCAGCAGGAAGTAGCTAAGAGAATACGCCATCCCCTTTTCCTTATGACTCAGGGTGAAGTCTCTCTCAGGGAGGAGTGATAGGGAATGGCAAAGGACACACTGACAAAGAAGATTAATCAGAACTGGCTTTGACAAGCACTGTGGCATTTGGACAAGAACAAACTGGGAGGAGGGTAGAGAGACTAGTGCAACAATGAATGAATGGAAACCCAAAATCTCTGTAAATGTTTATGAAAATTAATAAAATATAGAAAAGAAAAAAAATAAAGCTATAGAAACTTAAAAAAAAATCATATGGCCTGGATAATAAGCTCCAGTTTGATTCCAAATTTGAAACTGTTTTCACCCTTGGTTATTTTTAGAAACTGCCCCATTAATCCTGAGTGTTTGTCACCTTTGTGTATAAAAAAATTAGTGGCTTTTAAAGCTAAACACATTCAGTATGTGCTACACAGAGTATAGTCTGTTTATTTCCTTCTTACCTTTCCACAGCATGGCATATTTTAACTTCCTTTTCCTCACCAGCATCTTTTATGTACCATTTGAAGATAGGTTTAAAGTCCATTTCGAAGCCAAATCGTACTTTGCAGGTAAGATTTAAAGGCTTTCCTGAAAATAAGGAGGCAAGGAGGGAAAAATCAGGAAGGAGGGAAATAAGAATATGTTATCTGTGTGCAGGTGGAAGACACAAGCTGCAATTTGTGCTCCCTGATATGGCCAAGATTGCACATGAAATGGGTGCGACAGAAATACCATATTGCTGCGTGTATCTCACTTAGAAAGAAATGAAGCCAGATATGTTTGTCTTTATTGGTCAATCAGTAGAGCTCAGACATATACCTGTATATATTTAAAGTGAAGATGACAGGATCATATCACCACGAGATCTGATGTGGTCTGAGAGTAGAAAGCCAGCTTTGAAGCTGATTCTGATTCATGGCAACCTGGTGGATGTCAGAGGAGAAATAGCTTCATAGAGTTTTCATTGACTGGTTCTGAAAGAAGCATACTGTCAGCTTCCTAGTCACCCCTGGAAGACTCAAGCTTCCAATCCTTGGTTAGCAGCTGAGCACATCAATCATTTGCACCATCAAGTAGCACAGGATTAATGGTTGTTGTTGTTGTTGCTGCTGTTGTCCTTAGGTGCCATCAAATCAACTCTGACTCTTATCAATCCCATGAACAATCTCTTGCTCTCTCCTGAATCATCCTATTATCTCTGATATGCTCAAGCCCATTGTGACAGTCACTTAATAAGTCAATTCATCTTGTTGGGGGTCTTCCTCTTTTTCTCTGACCCTCCATCTTTCCCAGCATGATAGCCTTTCTCAAGAACTGGAAGATGACACAACCTTGCTTGGTGCAAGTGAAGAGAACTTCAAACACTTTTGCCACAGGAGATCAAAGACTACAGTCTTCAATGCGGATTATATCTCAGCATCAAGAAAACAAAAATCCTCACCACTGATCAATACTGATCATCATAGATAAAGAAAAGATTGAATTTGTCAGTGATTTCTTTTCACAAAAACCACAATCAACACTCTGTGGTAACAATGGTTAAGAAATCAAAAACCATGTTGCATTGGGAAAATCCACTGTCAAGGATCACTCCAAAGTACTATGAAATAACAATGAATAATTTTGGTTTAAAAGTTTAAAGGTAGATACTGGGAAAATAAAAGTGTTTCAGTGCCCAACCTTTCCTCCAACACTGCTGTCGAAATACAAGTTGTAGAAACAGGGTGAAAAGAAAACCTACAGACTGGGAACAAATATGTGGTAATTCCATCTCAGACAAGAGTTTTGTAACAAAAGTTTACAGAATACTCCTGGGCCTCCACAAGAAAAAGACTGATAACTCAATTACAAAATGAGCAAAAGACATGGAAAGCATTTTGACAAAGGACAATATTCAAATGCCACACAGACACATGAAGAAATTCTCCAAATCACCGGCAATAAGAGAGATGCAAATCAAAACCACAATGAGACACCATCGCACTCCAGTAAGAGTGGCAAAGTTTAACAGGACAGCAAGTAATAGATGTTGGAGAGGATGTGGTGAGAAAGGAGCTCTTATACATCGTTAGTGAGATTGTAAAATGGTGCAACCATTCTGGAAGGCAGTTTGGCACTTCCTCAAAAAGTGCAACACGGAAATTCCATATGACCCAACTATTCCACTACTTGAAATATACCCTAAGAATATGAGAACTGAGGCACAAAATGGGATTTGCATACCAATGTTCATAGCAGCATTATTCACTATTGCAAGAACATGGAAAAAGCCCAGAAGTCCAACCACAAATGAATGGATTGAGAAATTATGGTATATTCATACTATGGAATATTATGCAGCCCGCAGGAGCAATAACTTTGTAAATTATTACCTAACTTGGGAGGGACTGGAGAGTATTATGCTGAGTGAACTAACTCAGTCCCATAAGGCTAAATATTGTATAAAACCATCATTGTAGAATGAGGATAAGGATCCAGGAGGGATGGGAGAGGCTGGAAGCAGAGGGAGGTGGATGTGCAGGGAGAAGGGGGGACTAATCATTGGGTTGTACAATTTGATGGGTGGGGGGTGAGGGAAATTGAAAGAATTTGTTCCAATTTATGTTTGAATTTTGTAAATAAACTAGTAGAAAAAATATTTAATGACTAATATTTACATACAAATTAAAATGACAAGATTACTGTGGTAAATACAAGCTTAATGCACTGTCAAGTTGACTGTGACTCATAGTGACCCTTTGAACAATGAATCTGAACCTACCTTATCCTGTGCAATCCTCACCATCTCCAATCTACTTGAACCCACTATTACAGTCCACTTTGTTGCAGTTCTTCTTCTCCTAAGTTGATTATCTTTCCCAGCAAAATGTCTTGGCCCCTCCTAACAACATGATCAAAGTATGTGAGACTAAGTTTTGTCATCCATGCTTCCAAGGTCACATTTTCTCCAAGACAGACTTATTTGTTCTTTTCATAGTTCATATATGAGCTATTTAGTACTCCACCCCACGACTCAAAGCCATTGATTTTTCTCCTGTGATCCTTACTCATTGTCCAACTCTCACATGTATAGCAAGTTATCAGAAATATGATGGCTTGAGTCAGGCTCACCTTAGTATTTATGATGACATCATTACACTTCAGCACTTTGGAGAGGTCCTGACAATAGATTTTTCCCAGTGAGATATGTCTTTTTTTTTTTTAATTGCCAGCACTAAGGATATTGATGGTGGATCTGAATAAAATGAAATTATTGACAACTTCAATCTTTTATTCATCTATCAAGATGTTGCCTATTGGCCTGGGGAGGGGAGGATATTGGGATGCAGTCCATATAGAAGGCTGTAGTATTAGACCTTCTGCAGAAGGAGCTTCAAGTTCTCCTTACTTCAAGCAAGTAAGATTGTACAATCTGCCTAATGCAGGTTGTTGATGAGACTTTCTTGCTTCCTAATGGTACATTCTTATATTCTTAACGCTCGGCTTCTCAAGTGATTTGCTCAGCATACAGACTGAATAGGTATGGAGAAGGGTTACAACACATTTAATTTAAAGAATTTCTTTAGATATTTAGCTGAGTGCTTAAGAATTATGCATTGTAAATTGCATACATGATGGAACACCACCCTTTCCTTATAGATGCATGAATATTTAAAGACCAACTCAGGAACAGGTTTAAGGTCTTAAATACTAATAAGTAAAGACCAGATAAACTTTAGGAACATATAAAAAATTTCATCCATGAAGAATACAAAAGATGGGGAAAGAATAAACGATCAAAATGGATGTCAGAAGAAACTCTAAATATTGCATGAGATTACCAAGAACCCAAAGCAAAGGGAAGAAATCAAGATGTTAAAGAGCTAAGTAGGAGATTTCAAAGGGAATCTTGGAAAGACAAAGCAGAATATTATAATGGAATGTGCAAAGAGCTGGAGTTGAAAAATCAAAAGAAATAAACGTGTGTGGCATTTCTGAAACTAAGAGAACTGAAGAACAAATTCAAGCCTTGAGTTGCAATGCTTAAGGATGCTGTGGGCATAATGTTGAATGATCCAGGAAGCATCAAAAGAATATGGAAGAAATACACAAAAAGAATTGGCTGACACAGAAGAATTTCATGAAACAACATATCATCTAGAGCCTATGAGGATTAAGGAGAGAGTTCAAGTAGTTCTGAAGAATTGGAAAAAAAAACAAGACCCCAGGAATTGGCAGCATCCTAATTGACATATTTCAACAAACAGATGCTGCCCTGGATGTGCTCACCAGATTGTGCCAAGAAATCTGAAGAACAACCACCTGGCCAACTGATTGGAAGAGATCCATATTTATTTCCATTATAAAAAAAGGTGACACAACAGAGTGTGGAAATTATCAAACAATATCCTTAATATCACATGCAAGCAAGATCCAGCCTAAAATTATCCAAAAATGACTGGAACAGCACATCAACAGAGAAATGCCAGACATGCAGGCTGGGTTTAGAAGAGGCTGTGGCACTAAGGATATTATAAGGATATTATAGCCAATGTTAGTTGGATCTTATCGGAAACCAGAGAGTACCAGAGGAATATCTATTTGTGTTTCATTGACTAGTCAAATGCATTTAACTGTGTGTATCACAATTAACTGTGGCTGACTCTGAGTAGAATGGGAAACCCAGAAAACTTGGTTGTGCTTATGCTAAACCTACACTTGGACCAGGAGGTAGTCGTCAGAACAGAGCAAGCAGACACTGCATGGCCCAAAGCATGAAAGTTATACACCAGGGATGCATCCTATCTGTATACTTTTTCATTCTACATGCAGATCTGGAAAACTGGGCTCTGTGAGGCGGAATGTGGGATCAGGTTTGAAGAAAGACTCATTAACAACCTGTGTTACATAAATGACGCAACCTTGCTTGCTGAAACTGAGGAGGATCTGAGGCATTTGCTGTAGATGATCAAGGACTGTAGCCTTCAATATGGATTGAAGCTCATAATCAAGAAAGTAAAGATTCTCACAAATGGACCAACTGGCAATGTCATGATAGATGCTGAAGAGATTGCATTTGTTAACAGCTTCAACTTGCTTGGCTTCCCAATTAACACTCCTAGTACCAGCAGTCAGGAAATCAAAAGACAAATTACAAACTGGGAAAATCTGTCAGGGACCTCTCCAAAGTATTGAAGAGCAATGATGTAAGTCTAGAGGTTAAGGTATACCTGATACAGGCCATGATCTTCACAATTACTTGCTATGCATCAGAGAGCTGGACAATGATGAAGGATGACAGAAGAAACTATGCCCTTGAGTTGTGGTGCTGGAGAAGAGTATTGAATATACCAGGATGGCTAGAAGAACAAATAGGTTCATCCTGGAGAGGGTGAAACCAGGCTGCTCCTTAGGGGCAAGGATTTTGAAGCTTCGTTTGACATGCTTTGGGCATGTTGCCAGGAGGAACCAGTCATTGGGGAGGGACATCATTCTTGAAAGGGAAGAGTGACGGCACAAGAGAGGAAGACCCAGGATGAGATGGATTTACTCAGTGACTGGGGTAATGCAGGTAGGTGTGTCAGAGACAACGAGGTTGGCTCAGTATAGAATAAAGTTCAGAACTGTTGTACATATGGTCAGTACGAGTTACAAGCAATTCAATGACACCTAACAAAAACAACAACTTTATCACTGACAGCATTGTAATTCTCAGAATAGTCAGCCATCTGATATTCCAATTCAAAGTGTATACCAGTTCATTTGTTTTCACTACTGTTATGTACCATCAAGTCAGAATTGACTCATGGCTGATTCTCTAGTTTTAGAGAGAGTAAATCATATGCAGAGGCTATTCATCTTTTTCCCTTAGATTTGAACCATGTGCTTTTGGGATAGCAGAGCAGTTCCTTACCACTAGGCCTGCAGAGAACCCTTTTAGTTCACTAATGACTAGGCAATTAATCTATATGCTTTCCATTTCATTTTTCACATCTTCAAGTTTTTCTAGATGCATGTATTTTATATTCCACATTTTATTAATTAATAAATATTTGCACTTGCTTCTCCTTATTTTGAGTAATGATACATTAGCAAATGACTAAACTCTTATTCTGTTCATGTCACTAAATTGGTCTCTATTCTGAGGAGTTGGCTCTTCCTCAGTGATTTTTGATGGCGCCTTCCAACCTGAGGGATTTATCTTTCCATACTATCTTATAGAATATTCCACTGCTTTCCATAAAGTTTTAATTTGTCAGTTATTTTGGAAGTAGATGGACAGTCTTGTTCTCAAACCTGCTTTTGTCTAGAAATTCCTTAAAAACATTTCCATCATGTGTGACTTTCCTGATATTTGATATATTTGATATTTAATATTGGCTTAGCTTCCAGTATCTCAACAACATGCAATTCATCACAATATGATAAACTGATTGTTGAATGGTAGATATCATCACATTATTTAGCATGCAGTATATTATTACTACTCAGTACAACCTTGTCATACCAGTTTTATTATTCATGTCTATTTTAAGATTTGACAATCTGAGTCTTACGAGGATTAACAATGTGTAGAATCACGGTGCTATTTGAGACTGAGCCAAAATTCCCGTTCAGTTTTGCCCAATGTGCTTGCCATTATGGACCAAATACTAGAATTATAAGTTATTTGAGGTCAATGGTGCATCTCAACTTACCAAGTCCTACTTCCAGTATGTCTTTGTCAGGTTCCAGAATGTCTGGTTTCGATTTAGTGTCTTCCACTAAAATACAAAAGTACAGTCATCATTTGCATTGAGAAATCTGATGACAATGCTTGTTAAAAATTTGAGCATTTGGTCACACTTAGACTCAAATATTTTGGAATTGTTTTATAAAATATTTTTTCCATAATCTGTAATGCCAAGTACTCAAGTTTCCTTATCAAAAACATGCCTCCAAAACTGTGGAATGAAGTTTTTAGTGCTAAGAAAGGACTAGTTCATTATCAATATATTTCTATTTGTGCAAACTTCCTTTTACATCAACTCTGGTCAACTAGATCACTCATTCCTTCCATTTCCTTCAAGATTTCTTTTTGTTGCCATCTAGCACCCACTGTAGAAAATGTGCAAGACATAATTTACCCTACCTCCAAAATTATGGCTTGTTTAAAAGTAAAGAGCAGTTTAACCCTTAATCATTTATCCCTCCATTTCCTGCTAAAAACTTTCCCATTTACCTCCACCATCAAACTTCTCCCTGAAAAATGTTGTATTTTTTTGTTGTTGTTAATGGAAAAATTCATTACATTTACTTTAGATACTATCCAGTTTTACTTCTCAGGGAACTTAGTCCAGGGACCTTCACCTCTCAAGTAAACCCTCTTCCTTTTGTATGATTTAGTTTCATGGGCTTCTTTTCATCAGCATTTTTATTTATTTGTCTTTTAAAAAGAAAAAACTTCCAGCTCACATTTTGATCGTATTAATTATCTTTCTTTCACAGCTATAATCTTGAAAAAGTCCTACACATTCATTTCCCCTATTCTTTCACCTCGTATATAATCTACTTTCTATGGTAAATCCTATACTGAAGTCCCTTTGTCCAAAGTTATTAGTAACCTCCTTAAAAATTGATTTTTTAACAACATTGGAAACTGTTGCCCAAGCTCTTCGAGAAACCTTCTCGTGTGTTATGAGACGAAACGCTCCTGCTCACCTGCATCATCTCTCACTTGCTTCACAATTCACTTCCTTTACAAATTTCTTTCATCAGTGACTGCTTCCCCATGTACACAATGAAACCGTCTTACCAAACTCAGTGATCCATTCTGAAGTCTCACCATTGTTATTTTATTTATTGTTGTTTGGGTGAAATTTCATGTCTATTCCTTGCAGGTAGTGGATCACCCCTTGCTTTTTGAGGTACTTCATTCATCATATCCCTTGGACAGTTAATTTCTCTCTGTTCTCACAGTGCTATTCTATGTGCTTTAGATACTCGCCTTCGGCTTTCAAACTTTTCCCATGTTGGAAAGCTTCAGGGATCAGCCACAGCCCCTTTCTCTCTAGGATTTTTTAATTAAGTGATAGAGTTTCTTGGTTTTAAGTCTAAGATAAAAGTGAACTACTCTCACATTAATCTCCCTAGTCTTAACATTTCCAGATTTTTTATCCAAATACCTACTTGCCATTTTTCTTGGATGGCTTATAAGTTATTTCAATATTAATATTGTATTTCTCCCTCAGATCCTTTTATTCTTTACCATTTAAAGTTTTGTTAAATGGCACTACAATTTATCAGCTATTAACACAGACCTTGTGCGTGTGTTTCACACATTCCTTTATTCACATTGTGTTTCATCTGATCATTCTCATATATTATGTTTTATAAAATTAATCACCATTGATCTATGCCCACTATTACCCTGTCTTTTCAGATCCCCACAGGAAACTTAAACTCAACTCCCCCATTTTCAGAACACAGTAGTTTTCTAAAATGAACAGCCACTTGAGAGTCAGAGAGTTTCTTGAAAATATTTGTAAAAGATGGCATTTTCAGTGTGTACCCTTGCCTTCAAGACATTTCTAAAACGTGTGAAAACGTATGGCCTGTGAGAAGTATTTATAATTTTTTTATCTCTCTCCTTTCTCTCTCTGTCTCTCTCTCTCTCTCTCTCCTATGTATATGCCATAATCTTATTGTTGAGTCACAAACCCCATTAGTTCTTCTAACTTCTGCTAAGCATGTTCACAGAATAGATAGAATTACCATTTTTGAACATTGATTCAAATCTACTGTTCCAGAGTTGTACCCCTATCATAACTCATACACTGATAGAGTAGTATCTGTATGTTGCAAAGAAGTCCGCTTGGATGCTCAGCATAACACTTGACTTGTGGTCTTGACTCCTTCTTACCCTATTTCTCTCTCTAATCACCAGATATTGCTGAAGTTCATAGAATAATGGTTAGAACAGTACATTGACAAAGTACTTCCAAAAGTTCAATCTGGGTTTTGAACAGATCATGCACCAGAAATAACACTGCTGATGTTAGATGGATCCTGGCTGGAAGTAGAGAACATGAGAAGTATGTCTACTTGTGTTTTATTTGCTATATAAAGGCATTTGACTGTAAGTACTATAACAAACTGTAATTAACATTAAGAAGAATGAGAATCCTTTAACCCTTATTTATGTTCATACAAATACAATACCCAGACCAAAAAACTGTGGTCCAAAACAGAATGAGGGAACACTGCATAGTTTACAATCAAGAAAAGTATGTCAAGAAAGGGTTGTTTCCTTTCTCCATACTTATTCAATCTCTATGCTGAGCAAATTATTGTGAAGGTGGACCTTATGAAATAGAATGTGCCATCAGAATCAGAGGAAGGCTTATCAATGACCTATGTTATGCAGATGAGATAACTTACTTGCTGAAAGCGAGAACTTGAAGTGCTTGCTGCAGAAGATCAATAATCACAACCTTCAATATGGATTCCATCTCAACATGAGGCAAAAGTTCTCACCACTGTTCAGATTAGCAACATCATGATGTATAGAGAAAATATTGAACTTGTCAATGATTCCATCTTACTTTGATCCACAATCAACATCCTTGGTACGAGCAGTAAAGAAATCAAAAGATGTATTGCATTGGGAAATCTGCTGTCAAGGACTTTTCCAAGAGTAATGTTATCAGTTTGAAGACTAAAGTGCTCCTGATTCAAACTATGGTCTTTTCAGTCATTTGCTATGCATCTGAGAACTGGACAATGAATAAGGATGGCAGAAGAAGAATTGATGCCCTTGAGTGTGGAATTGGAGTACTGAATATTCCATAGACTGACAAAGAGCAAACATATATGTTGAGTAAAGTGCAGACAGAGTGCTCCTTACAGGAAAGGATAGAGCAGCTTTGTCTCACCTACTTTGGGTGTGTTGTTAGGAGGGGCTTTTCCTTGGAAAGGGACAGCATTCTTGGAGAAGTGGAGGGTCAGTGAAAGAGGGGAAGACATTGTGTCAATGAGATGGATTGACACAATGATTGCTGCATTAGGATCAAATATGTCAGAGATGATAAGGATGACACAGAATACTATTATTTGTAGGGTTGCTATGAGTCGTACTTGATTCTACAGAATCTAATAACAACAATCGCCAAATTCTAAAATCTACCTCCTAAATTTTTCAATTTAATTCAGTCTAGTCTCATTACTACTCTAATGATTTATTCAGTGCAAATAAAATTTTTTAAAAGCCTACCTAAACAGTGAGTATACACATGAACCTCACCTGATGGGCTACCCAGGATATTGGATTGATTAAATTGGTGCAAAGGAGCTATGGATGGTAGCCAAAGGGTAAGGAGTTGTGCTGTCAACCCAAAGGGAGGCAATTATAATTCACCAGCTTCTCTGTGTGAGAAAGAGGGGATATCTCCTAGTGTGTGGTTCACAACCCGTATTCATTACTCTCTGGTAGCCTAGTGATAAGGAGTTACACCACCAACTTGAAGGCAGAAGATTCAAACCCATTCGTGTCTCCATTTGAGAAAGATTGCCAATATCCTTTAGTGTGATTTATAGCTTCTGTAAACCCACTAGAGGGTCACATATGTGTCAGTTCTGACTTTATGACATAGCAACAACATCAATCTTGTAATAAACCCTTTTTTTCTTCTATCTATCTGTCTCACAAAATAATGGTAAGTCTGAGAGATCATGGAAAATGTCTAATTTATATATTTTACCTGTAATCCCTTACTCAGTGCCTGACATGTATTAGATGTTCGATCACTATTTGGGGAGAATGAATAAATTAAGGAATAAAAAAGTAAATGAAGAAAGGAAGCATGGTGATAGAGTGAGTCTAATTGGAAAAGTGTGACTGACTTTGCAATGCCTTTCTATGTGGAGAGCAAAACAGATCTTGCGACTACTGAGTACAACAACCATCTGTCACTTGAAGGAAGAGTGTGACAATGAATGGGGCATTCATATTCCCACTTCTTTTCCAAGAGACCATCTAATAGACATGGAAATGGCTGCTATCTGAATAGTTTTAGTTTACTTCTGTTTTCACAATCCACTTCTGTCTCAATATTCTCATCCTGTTTTCATCCTCCTCTGAAAGCCTTCAGGGCTCAGTTCTAAGCCTTCCTCTCTTTAGGAATAATCTCTCTAGATGTTTCAGAGGAAAGCATAAAAGCCAGAGAGTAGGCAGAAGTGTTCAATTTGGTTTTATAATACTCCACATGATTTCCACCTTGTAGTGAAAAAAGAAAAGAAAAAGGAGCTCTGGTGGCCTAGTGGCAAGAAGCTGCACTGCAATCCCAGAGGTTCGAATCACCAGATCCAATTTCATGGTACACACACATAAAGTAATAAAAAAAACCTGATAGAAATATTTGCTTTTGTCCAAGTAAGCCATTTCTTAGCTCTTAAAGGCAAAACATGGCTGACTGAACCTGTTATGTTATAACTCAATAGGCCATGCTTGAATCAATTTTATCATAACATTTACTTATGTCAATACATATAAATAAAGTAAAACAAATCCAAAAAATGCTGGAGCAAAACTAGACAAGTCACTGAAGAAGAAATTCAATAGACTAATATACATATGGTGAGATTTTCAACCTCATCATTATCCACTTACGTCTAAAATGGCAAAGGGGGAGAAACTACACTTGTTTTCAAATAATCTGGTAACATTTGAAATAATAGGGATATGCTTACTATTAATAGGGCCATAAATTAGCAAAGTTGTACATAG